AAAATAGAAAACTAAGTTACATAGGTTCTTATGCATAAAAACAGAACTATTCATAATAATCAAAACTTTCAATCACACAGGTCATGTAAATGATCTCAAAATACAACATAATAACCGAGTGAGTTTTGTTTGTTTTTTATTGTTTTTATTCATTCCAGAGGGTACATAGTCATCGTATCATAAGAGGCATCAAATTGCTCGTAAATGTTAATGAGAAAAATGTACAGGAAGTGATATGAAAGTAGGTTCACCTTTCATACTTTGTAATAATTGTAAGAGATATAGATTAAGGAAGCTAATCCGTCTGCGTTATGGTTTTATCCATTAAACTCCATTTTTTAGAGTGAGTGAGTGAGTGAGTATGGTTTTACGCCGCTTTTAGCAATATTCCAGCAATATCACGGCGGGGGACACCAGAAATGGGCTTCACATATTGTACCCATGTCGGGAATCGAACCCGGATCTTCGGCGTGACGAGCGAACGCTTTAACCACTAGGCTACCCGACCGCCCCTCCATTTTTTATAGAAAGAACTTATTGTTCCGTTTCTTTTTGCAAGGAGTGAGTGAGTGAGTGAGTATGGTTTTACGCCGCTTTTAGCAATATTCCAGCAATATCACGGCGGGGGACACCAGAAATGGGCTTCACACTTTGTACCCATGTCGGGAATAGAACCCGGGTCTTCGTCGTGACGGGCGAACGCTCTAGCCACTAGGCTACCCGATCGCCCCCTTTTTTTTACTCTTTTTTTTGCAAGGAAAAAATTCGACATGGTAAATATCTTTCAGTATATTTCTGTATGACTGAAAATATGTTTTTACTCCTTTAATATGTGTTACGTAAATGTGTCGTTTTGCCAATATCAATAAGTGATTTAATAAGATGTTGTTTTTATCTCCAAAATAGATATCTTGTTTTGTAATGAAAACATGACCGAAAATAACGCTTATGAAAGCATTAAATTCGTCCCAGAATTCTTTGACACAAGAACATTCTAAATATACATGAGCGATGTTTTTTCACTGTCTGAATTGCAAAATGAACAAAGGTTGTTGTCAACCAAGTTCATCATTAACAATTCCTTTTTAGTGTATATAATTTTGTGTAAGATTTTGAATTGGAATTATAATAGTTTTGTATCTATTGTAGATTTTCTATATTGTAAAAATACATATTTCCAATTAATTGGATTGTTAAATTCTTGTTCCCACTTCTAACAAATTTCTGGAAAGTTAGAGGGGCGGTCGGGTAGCCTAGTGGTTAAAGCGTTCGCTCGTCACGCCGTAGACCCGGGTTCGAATCCCGACATGGGTACAATGTGTGAAGCCCATTTCTGGTGTCCCCCGCCGTGATATTGCTGGAATATTGCTAAAAGCGGCGTAAAACCAAACTCACTCACTCACTCACTGGAAAGTTAGATGATGAAATGAAGTTGTCATAAAAGGTCCTAGAACCTTTGCTTGTCTTAAGTAAATCAAGCCACGGAGAGGAAATGTTTAGTTGCATTGTGTGTAGATTATCTGAATCATGCAGTAGATCTTCCCATGGCTTCGGGATGTTTAAATGCAAACTGTTATAGTCCAATAAAGTGCATTATTTTCAGCTCAGGGAATGGAATAAAACCGTTCGAGTCACATAAATCCTTTACATGGCAAATACCCCTTGTATACCAATTTCTAATAATGAAATCCGGAAATTTACATTTATGATTGTACCACAATGGTTGCATTAAAATTTCATGAACATCATTTTCGTTGATTTCGTGCGTTTTTATGTATTTGTTCCAAGCGTTTAATGTGTCTTTCCAAAATGGGTTTGTGATATTGAAGTGTTTTTTAATATTAGCGCCCAAACGGAAGATGTCTTGTAAGGGAAAGCCTGAAAGAGGCTAGCTGTTTTGGTTTGGAAATATATGGTTTGATACACGATACCTTAAGTGAGTAAATAAACATTGTAATATCAACCATTCTAAGGCCACCATCTTCATATTTTCGAACTAGGTTTACTCTTTTTATTATACCCCCGTTTACGAAGTAAATCGGGGGTATATAGCGTTCCGTTCGTCAGTCCTTCCGTCCGTCCTTCCGTCCGAGCTTTTGTACGGCCCATAAGATTTTAACCATGCACCCTAGCTTCACCAAACTTTCTACACACATTAACCACAATGCATATGAGTACTTGTGCCTTTTGCTAGTTTGAAGATTCTGAATTTTTTAATTTTTGCCGTTTCTATGGAAACATTAAGAAACTTAAACTTTTAGGGTGGGTGTTTTGTACGGCCCATATCTTTTTAACTATGCATCCTAGCTTCATCAAGCTTGCTACACACATTTACCACAATGAGTATATGTGCCTTTTGCTAGTTTGAAGATTCTGAATTTTTTAATTTTTGCCGTTTCCATGTAATCATGGTGAAACATAAATTTTGGGTAGAGTTTTTGTACGATCCATGTTTACCATATTATGTATCCTAGCTTCAGCAAACTTGCTACATTAACCACTATATTATGATTGTTCTTTTATCTTTTATAAGATTCTGAAAATTTCTCTTTTGCTGTTTTCATGGAAACATGATGGAATTTGGAAATTTTGGTGACTGGTTTTGTATAGCTAATATATTTTCCAAAGTTGTTTCCACACATGTAGATCATCATAAGTATCTGTGCTTTGTGTTAGTTTGAATTTATGAATTCTTTACCATATCTGTTAAGGCTAGATGGAAATTATTAATTTATTGATTTTCTTATATGATATTGTTCCATGTTTTATGTGTTTTTATGTCAACAATATTTGGTCCTTTTGATAATTCTTCTTATGTAACTACTCAATCAATTTTTTATTCAAAGGTGTTCATGGTGATCTACTTCTCGTAGTGAACACTGGTTAATGTGGGAGATTGGGGGGGGGGGGGGGGGGGGGTCAATTGTCACTGGAACTCAATCTTAGTTTAGCTCACTTCTTTCTTGTTTTGTCTTTCTTTCCATTCCATATGAAATTGAAAAAAATGCTGTTTAATTCTTTTATGAATTATTTTGGGAGATTCGGTAAAGCAGTTAATATATGAACTATAGTTGACAAAGCCAAGGTTTTTATTACGGTTATTTTCCCTATTAATGTCAAGTTGCGTTTCCGCCAGTTTGAAAGAATTCTTCTAATTGTTTCCAGTCTTTGTCTAGTGTTGATAACCCAAAGACTTATCAAATCAGCGTTTAGTTTAATTCCAAGTACATCGAAATCTGCGTTGTGCCAGTCCAATGTCAAATCAGGACATAATGTGAGTGAACCCCCTGCCATTGAGCCTATCCATACAGCTTTAGTTTTGTCTGTGTTTATTTGTAAGCCAGACATTCTATAGAACTTACTCAGTGTATTTACTGCTTCATTTAGCGACGTTGCTGAGGCATCTAAAGATAGTTCGGTGTCATCGGCATATTGACCTATTACACGCTCACTTTCTCCAAGGACTATACCTTTTATATTTGTATTTTTTCTTATCATTATGCCAAGTATTTCTGCGACGAAAAGAAACAAGTATGGGGAAATCGGATCTCCTTGTCTACATCCTCTCTCGTTGCTGAAAAATGAAGACAAGTGACCGTTTTGTATGACACAAGAAGTTTGAGATCAGGATATTTACCCATGTTTGCATATAAGTTACAAAACCAAATTTATCAAAAACCTTCTTAATGAATCGCTTAGAAACTGTGTCAAAGGCTTTTTCGAAATCAATTAATATTAATAGGCCTTTTTCTTTAATCTTTTTGTTTCGAAAATGATGTCATATAGGAGTCTAATGTTTTCGATAATACACCTACCTGGGATAAATCCTGTCTGGTTATCGTTGATAAGGAGATCCAGTGTCTTTTTTATCCTATTTGTTATACAAGTGCTAATAATCTTGTATAAAGCATTTAAAAGAGAAATGGGCCTCCAATTTTTTAAGAAACATCTATCTTTATTTGGTTTTGGAATGCACGTTATAACTCCTCTATTCATTGTCAAACTCAAAGAGTTGTTTTTGAAAGTGTCCTTGATATAGCGATAAATCCAAATGTTGATATCTTTCCAAAAATATTTGAAAAATTCGATAGGAAAACCATCAAGTCCTGGGCTCTTATTATTTTTCATTGACTTAATAGCAGCAGCTATCTCGTTCAGTTTTATTTCTTCATCTAGTTCTTCTGAAAGATTGTTATTTAAAGTTGGAGTGGTTAGTCTTTTAAACAATCGAAACCTTCAGCATCAATATCGTCTGTCGACTTGTACAATTTTTCGTAAAAGTTTTTCTGTTCGGTTATTATTAGAGAACCATCTGTTATTTCCTCACCAATAATAGTATTGATAAGTTTATTCGTATAGTTCCTGTTTTCTAAGTGGCAAAAGTAATTAGTTGGTTTCTCTCCTTCGTTATACCACTGTATTCTATTAGGTATTTGAATTCCTCTCATTTCTTCTTCTTTATTTGTTTCGAGCTCAGATTTCCGCTCTGACAGTTTGGATAACAATGTTTCGCTAACGTTTTGAAAGTCGTTCCTTACTCGTGTTTCAAATTCCAATATATCATTTTCTATTTCTTTATATTTTTTCTCTTTTACTTTTTTAAAGTGTGTAGAATATGAGATAGTTTTTCCTTTTACTTTCCTAAAAAATGTCTCTAAGAATAGCGAATCAGTAATTGTAAGATCTAAAGTTTCTTCAGGGATATTTTTAATATCTTCATTATCATATTAGGATCAGCGTATTCACGTTTAGTTTAGTTTAAAATACCTATTACCATTGTTGCATATTCATCTTTTCATAGTAGTGATGTATTGAACTTCCAATATCCTCTCCCCTTTTCTTTATTTTGTTGATTGGATAGCCCCCCCCCCCCCCCCCCCCCCCCCCCCCCCCTCCTCCAACCAATGCCCACATTTTTCCCTATTATTCTATATTCATTTATCCCCAACCCTGACCCAGCCACCACCACCCTTAGCTCTGTGATTAACACTCGAATCCAGAGGGGAGAAGCCCTTCCGCTCGCCTGAGGATACGGGCCACGGGAGGAAGAAGAGGAAGAGGAGAGACACCCCCTCTCCCGAACCAGCCTCCCGACCTACCACCACCACCGCGTCAGCAGAGTCCCAGACCTCGACGCCCATCCTGAACGACTCCAGCACTCAGACCACCGCACCAGAGCTCCCTTCCCTTAGCGACGGCCAGACTCAGACCACCCTGGTCGAGTTTAAGGACAAGGACAAGGACCTTAGAGCCGCGCTACTGGGAAAGGCGGGGGGAATCCTTAGATACTATAAGGCTCATTCCAACCTCGGCGCGGACTGAATTGAGACAGCCCACGACCAGGTGTTTCCCTCCTCCAATACCGACGGAGCCCCACTTACCCTAATCCAGTATTTGGGGAAGGAAAAGTTCGAGCACGAGTTCTTCAGCTCCAAAGAACTCTCTCACTTTTTCGTGGATTGCGATGTCAAGGCTAGCAAGCACTTCAAGACCCCAGACCCCAGGGAAGAGGCCGTCGCGAAGATACTTCTGGGAGGAAATCGCCGATAGACACCATGCTCGCCAGCCGACGCCGTGCCTTCCCACGCTTGACCCCCTCCCCTCCAACTAAGGCCCACTTTTTCCATATTATTGAATATACTTTTAATCCCCCACCCCCACCCAGCAAAACCCCTCCCCCCTCAGCTTTATTAGAATAGGCCGTAATTTTTTACATTTTGGGGGGTTGCACTTCTTTATTTATTCTTTACGCTTTTTTTCCCCAATAGTATAAGTGCAACCCCGTGTGCGAAATACGCTCTCAGTCGGAAAGCGCACGTTAAATCTCCAAATGATGATGATGGTGAATTGAACCCGGGGTTTCAGAGAACGTTTTACCCTCTAGTCTACCCTAGCACACCAAAAAACAAAAGAAAGTACATTAGGATTTCAGACAATGGATATTCTCACCAAATTCATTCACCCATTATTGGAAGCTATATTGAAATTCAAATTTTGACAAATTAGGATGAAACTGTAGAAGTATTTATCTAAGTTATCATGGATATTTAATATCTACCATTAATTGATAGTCCAACATAGACAGTGATAAGAAATTCAACTGAAAAGCACATCCTAAACCATCAACTAAAAACTATGTATATTACAATAAAGGGGCCGGTCATGTATTACCGGTATGTTCTCATTCAATTTTGACACTATACTCCCTGAAAAGAAAATGCAAAGCACTTTATATTTTATTGTCCATTTTTAAATAACCCTCCCCCGGAGACTCTCACATTTTTAGATGACCCTCCCTATTTGTTCTGATCTGAATTCAAATATTCATGGCAATATTTATGCCTCAAATCATTATCATATTTTAATCATTTATCCTTTCTTTTTTTAAATTAACTTAATGAAGATTAACAATAACATGCAAATCTGCCAAATATATTGGTCTGGCAATGCCTAAATTAATAATAATTACTGTTTTGGATACATCGTCTGTTTCTAAATTCAGTGAAACCCAACTTTGGACTTGCGTGCCATTATTGAATCATCTACCCCACGTTCTTCACGCATTGATATGCATCTGCACAGAGTGGTCAAAGTCCTTGTCTGACACATAGTGTGCTACAAGGGAGACATCAGTTTGTGTCAAGCCAAACTGTCTGATAATCTCAAGGGCTACCTTGGTAGCATCAAGGGATGTAGCTAATCCTAAATAAACATAAAACAAGTGACATCATCTCTTCTACAGAACACATGATCAAAGCCTGCCCCACCTTTGATGTTTATTACCTTGCTACTCTAAAAACAGCTAATTATCAAAATGAACTCAAAAAGGGCTAGGGATTAACAGGGCAATTAGTGTTGGGTGGGTATTAGCACTTGCAATTGTCTGTTAATTACTTTTCACTTTTATTACAATGACAGTTTTGATGTGCATTTCTTTGTTTTGTTCACTAGGAGGATTAGTAGTGACGGTATTTGAATTAGATACTATTTATTCCAAAAGTTGGTTGGTTGGTTTGTTGTTTAACGCCGCACTCAGCAATATTCCAGCTATATGACGGCGGTCTGTAAATAATCAAGTCTGGACCAGACAATCCAGTGACTAATATCATGAGCATCGATCCACGCAATTGGGATCGATGACATGCATCAACAAAGTCAGCGAGCCTGACCACCCGATCCCGTTAGTCGCCTTTAACGACAAGCAGAGTCACCTTTTACGGCAAGCATGGGTTGCTGAAGACCTATTCTACCCCGGAATCTTCACATTATTCCAAAAGAGGAATTGGTGAAGAGGCAAAGCTCATTTGAACACAAAGACATTTAACAATTAATAAACATAAACTGTACAAAAAAAAAGATTAACTGTTTAAATTAACTGTACCTACTGTTGAAACTATCATTATGCAAATTTTCACTGAATCAAAGTCACATCTTTTCACGATTTAGATGAGGTTGTAGTGATTTAAATTTACATAAAAATTGCTAATTTCAAATGACCCATCCCGCACTTTTGGCGCTATTTATGATTTGGTTTGTTGTTTTATGCCACACTCAGCAATATTCCGGCTATGTGTAAATAATCAAGTCTGAACCAGACAATCCAGTGATTGACCTCATGAGCACCGATCCACGCAATTGGGATCAATGACATGCATCAACCAAGTCACCGAGTCTGACCACCCGATCCCGTTAGTCAACTCTTTACACAAGCATTGTCGCCTGTCACATTCATTACTTTATATTTGTGTGTCCAAATTACGCCATTATTAGAAATAGTATGTATTATTATACACAGGTGGTACAAGATACGTTTAGAGGCAGGACGTTCATGCTCAAACATTGAAAATAGCCAAGCCCGAAGTGATCGAAATATACGTTCTTGTCATACAGCTGTGACGCGATATCTTGTCTACGGGGACTTCCTATTGTGGCCGAGAGGGGACATCGCTTTCTCGCTTTCTCGCTTTATCGCTCTATCGCTTTATCGCTCTATCGCTTTATCGCTCTATCGCTCTCTCGCTTTATCGCTCTTTCGCTTTATCGCTCTCTCGCTTTATCACTTTATCGCTTTATCACTTTATCGCTCTATCACTCTCTCGCGGTTAAGCAATATCCCCTCTTGACCACTATAGGGGCCGCATGTGATATCTACTGAAATTAGGAGGGAATGTTGAATTTTTATCACTATTTACTTGAAACATAATTTAACTGTACAGACGTAGGTGATTTAAAACAATCCACAGAGTTTTGCGTAAAATGTAATTGATTAATTTATGGCCCTATTCAGTTGTATATGACCATCACGCCGAAAGCGCGTGGCAGATCATGGCAATTAGCTCTGAATAAATCAGGTTAAAATCTAAATATATACTTTTCAAAAGAAGTTAAGAAGACTATTGGTTAATTAGTCATGTCTGATCTTATAATTGTTGGTGTTCTATAACTTGTTTTCAGTAGTATATGATGTTACAGTGTGGCATACTACTGTCCGTAAATGTTCTTTTTGACATTTGATATATGTTTAACTTGAATTGTGTTTTTTTTTGTCTTGTGCAAATCTACAAATATATGTACTTGCAATTAGTAATTTGATAAACACCGCTGAGAGTGAGTGAGTGAGTGAGTGAGAATGATTTCACGTCGCTTTTAACAATAATCCAGTAATATCACGGGGAACACCAGAAATGGGCTTCACACATTGTACCCATGTGGGGAATCGAACTGGGTCTTCGGCTTGACGAGCGAACGCTTTAACCACAAGGCTACCCCACTGCCCCCATCGCTGTGGCGTTACCACAGTTGATATGTGTACTTGTGTTAACTACACATATGGAGAGACATAATAATTAGTGTGGCCACACATATATTTAATCAGCTATCATTGTAATATTTTATGTATATCTTAAGTATAGTTTTGTCAAAGTTATGTATGTGCGTGTGTGTTTGTGTGTGTCCGACTCATTGTCTGTGTAAAAATGTAGCAGATAACTACATAACTTACATCAGAACGCACAGTTGTTAACCATACAGTTTGAATGGATAGAAAATTGTTACATAAATATGTATATTCCTGCCTGAGCCTATACTATAATCGGATATCTAGTCTCTCCTGGCGGGAAAGTTCAACTTTATTTTACAAGCACTTTAGCATTAAATTCAATTTCCGAAGACAGTTTGATCGAAAGTGACTATAAGAAACGAGCTGTTTATAAAAAAAATTTACAACGCATTTCATTTCTATTGTCCAAGGAATGGGGTTACGGGTTAATGACGCTCTCGAAAGTCGTATATGTGACTTAAGGTAGAGACATATATCTAATCCATCTGTATTTTGTAAGGGGAACATAACTGTGTACATGTATAACTTTTGTTTGCATAATGTACATGCAACTTAATGAACATAATGTTGATCCCGAAATATCTAATGACCGAAAAAAATAATTCTTTGGACGTTGCAAACAATACAAACTGTGGCTGATTAAACTGACAATTATTTGTCAATATATGATCTCTTTTTTTATCAGATTAAAGATTGATGGAGGAATAGGGGGGGGGGGGGGGGGGGGGGGGGGGGCTATTATGAACAAAATGAAAATATGAACATTGACATCTGTATTCTCTGTGAATCTTGCTTATTTACTACACTACAAGAAAATATACAAGCTATACGAGAAAGAATTATGTGTGTATTTTGTGACATTTGAACTATTATGAACAAAATGAAAATATGAACAGTGACATCTGTATTCTGTGAATCTTGCTTATTTACTACACTACAAGAAAATATACAAGCTATACGAGAAAATATTATGTGTGTATTTTGTAACATATTTATCTACTACATGATGTTTAAAAAATCTAATCATAAGAGGCAAAATTGCGGTGAGAATTACAGGAATGGATCACTAAATATCAGCAAAAACCATTTTGCATTAATTATGGGAAATATCGCTTTATCGCTCTATCGCTTTCTCTAATGACTAACCATAGTCATATGAAAGAAACTTTAACTTCTTTTGAATAGTATGTACTGTAAATCTTGAAATTAATGTTAAGTTAATTATAAATGCAAAACATTAGAGTAGACTTAATTAATTATACTTTGCATTTATGTCTCAGTAAATGGGCCTAAATACGGAAATAGTTTCCGTTCTTAAGCCCATGAGCGCAATTCCGGGTGGGCCTAAATACAGGCCGTGCCGGTACCAGTTGTCCTACATCACGACCACTTCCGTCAATTTTGTTTTGACGTCAAAAACCCTGAAACATTTCATCAGCATTTTCTACCAGTAAATATAACTCACGGAAATTTCTCAATGAATGTATTCTCCGACATAAATGTCAAATGTCTATCACCGTTACGCTATGTACTTTCCAATTATACGACTTAATGGATTTTTATATTTTAATCAAGGGCGTTCACTTGACATTACTGGCCACGTTCGGATGCTTCCATATTACAATTACTGTATTCGACGTAATAAGCGCACCGCTCTAATAAGCGCCCACGGCGACATTTGCTAAGATATTGGCTAGTGAACAATCCCAGTTAGCACCCCTTCCGATTGATCAATGTACACAAGACTTATTTATTCGCGTATAATACGCACTCGTGTGTTATATGCACCCTTAATTATGGGCATTTAATTCTGGAAAAATATATCTGTCGTACATAAACATTTCAGGCTGTCAGCATAAACCACGAAATTTATCTTTCAACTCTGTATTTTTCACCAAAATAACATTTTAATAAGAGCCCCCTATTTCTAATTTTGAGAGCGCCCTGGGCGCTTATTACGTCGAATACGGTAATGTGGAAAAGCAGCAGACTGACAATACCAGCATTTTTACCGATGACTCAGCAGTGCACCGGCCCTTTTGATTTGTTGACCTTAGATATTGCTGGAAAGATAGTCAATTCGAGTTGAATGTAAAACAGTTTGGTTACACTATTTGAAGAAATACAACATTTTTGATACAATGTATACGTTTTTGAAACCACGACGTCATCTCACAGCGGCACTGAGCGGTATTCAAGGCCAGCTTACGGCCAGGCACCATCAGGGTTAAACCCACCTCACTCACTCACCCATTAGTAAGCCCATTAGGCCCCTATAACTCTTGAGAGGACAGTGCTGGATCCGTTTGTCAGGCTTGGTTGAGTGTTTTATTGATGAAGAACCCATTACGACTGGACATTTGAAAATCAAAACAAGACGATTGGCATGCACTTTTAAAGAAATACCTTTATGAGGAAACCCTTTACAGGGAGCAATTACATTGGAAGAACAATAACCTCTTTTGTCCCACTGTGGAGACCATGATATATTGAACAATGTTTTACTTATTATTGCTGGGTGGGTACATTTTGACCAACACATTCATTCTTCATTTTGAAGGTTGTCAGGGGATCTTCTTTGTTTTCATTTATTCCTCTTTGTACAATGTCATGTGTATGTTTAGAGAGTACCTTCTTAACTAAAGTCACCAGAACTAGGAAGGTGATGGAAAACAAGACGCTCTCAGCAAACAGAACATAACTGTACCACATTGGTGAATACAGATCCATGGCGACGCCAATAATCTGAGGGTTTGCAAGTCCACCGAGACCTAGGGCAACATAGATGACACCCATCAGCTTCCCTGAGAGTTGGACAAGCTCCTTTTCTGTCCAGGTGAGACTTGCGGGGAACACCACTGAGATTGCCAGTCCTATACCAACAACGCTGATCCAGATACCAGTACCAAATCCATAGGTGGCTGACAGGAGGAGACCAAGCTGAGACACACAGAGGACGACGCAGCAGATGGTGAAGAACTGGGCGTGTGTGACGAAACTGATGAGGACGATGCCAAACCCTCTCCCAGCTGTGTAGGATGCCCAGAAAGCGGAGGACAGGCGTCCACCATATTTCTTAGACCAATTCATCTGCTTCACGACAAACAAAGCCAGGAAAGATGGGGAGGTGTCTTCCACCTCGTCCAGGAAGAAGTAGAAGAGGGCAAAGAGTGCCAGTGTGATGATGAGAAGTCGTCGAGGGAGAGTTCTCTTCTTCCTCGCTGGACCTTCTTCTTCATCATGGTCCTTGGCGTCCTTCTGTGCGTCCTTCCGTCGAATGTTACTTGTACCCTTGTTCCTTTCATGGAAGAATTTGATGAGGAATGCAAAAGAAACTATTCCTGAGGGAATTGCAACAATTAAAAAGCCATAATGGATGTTACTCTCTGGTCTCGGGGCTGGAGTACTAGTCATGTTCATGCCTGAAGTAATGGTTGTTGTGGAGGTATAGTTGGCTGTGATCATTGTTGTTTGTTCAGGTTCCTGGGAGAGGAACGGTTCAAGGACGAAAGGGGCGATGGTTGCCCCAAGAGAGAAGGAGAAATGCAGTGCCTGCATGAAGGGTTTGCCCTCGTCTCCCCACTCCTCCACGATCTCCACATTCATACCTAAAAGAGAAGAAGGCTAAGAGAAGCTTTTATTCATTAACATTTCATCTCACGTAAATCAGGACATTGGATGCATAAGCGACACATATAGAATACATGTTTGTCATGTTTGCACTGATGATGATCATGATGGAAGATGAAGATAAACACGTGTCCAGGGAAGGATAAGATGAAGATCGAAAATTTGTTTGTTTGTTTGTTTAACGCCGCACTCAGCAATATTCCCGTTAAATGACGACGGTCTGTAAATAATCGATTCTGGAACAGACAATCATGTGATTGATATCATGAGCATCGATCCACTCAATTGGGATACGATGACATGCATCAACCAAGTCAGCGAGCCTAACCACCCGATCCCGTTTGTCGCCTTTTACGACAAGCATAGTCGTCTTTTAAGGCAAGCATGGGTTGCTGAGGACCTATTCTACCCTGGATCTTCACGGGTAGATAGAAAATAGAAACTGGGAAAGGATATATGGAAAAATGACAGAATGAATGATGTGAGTTAAGCAAAGATGTTTAAAGTGTGAGTGAGTGAGTGAGTGAGTTTTACGTGTTTTGGTAGCATGAATGATGTTTATTCTCGTAAATCACGGCAGTGATACAGAGATGTAATTGGATACAGGAATTAGATACAATAGGAGAAAACATGTCAGTGGAACATTTCCATACATGATCTTATATAACTCGCCAGTTTTAATAGAATTTGCTTATAAGTAATGGTCATCAAATGAGAGAATTTTATGGCAGAAGGATACATACAGTAGTATTGAGGCAAAAACTTGTTTCTAATTTCCGAGAGTTTTGGACATTCTAATAAAAAGTGCATTTCATCACTTATCAAATTTTTACACAATGTACATTTTCTTTCCTCTCTTACAATATTATTCCATCTTCCTGTTTCAATGGGTAATCTATGATTTGCTGTTCTAAAACGAGCAAGAGAGATGCGTAAGGTGATTGGTAGTTCTAGTAGTGAGTGAGTTGGGTTTAACGCCGCTTTTAACATTATTCCAGTCATATCGCGGCGTGTCAGCTTAATGTGGGAGGAAAGCCCGAAGAGATGCAGGTTTTAGACGTTTACCACTTCGGTGAAACCCACGAGCACGGGTATGGTGCTGACAAACCTAGAAACATAATTGGGTCGAACCGGGATTCGAACCCACAATCATAGGTTTCTCGCATGTCCAAGGGACGCAACTCTGCACAGCGAATGGCGGCGCCTTAGACGACTGGGCCACCCGTGCCCCCGGTAGTTCTAGTATATAAGGTAGCAGAGAGTTCATGACAAACAATCGATAAGGACAGTGGAGGGGGAAGGTTTGCTCAACAGTCTCCACTGGTAGCAGCTGAGTGATGAACCGTGAAATACGTTGAACAAACAAACAAGGGGAAGTGAATGAAAAACAAATAAGTGCCTTAGTTTAGATGGTTGTCCCTGATCTGGAAGACTCTTTAATCATCTTGTGTGCGAGGAATACCAAGGACCAGTGCATAGAACGCACGGGGTCACACAGCAAGTGTGCAATGGGTGATATGACTGTATCAAATATTAGACACGTTGGGAGAAAAATAATATTTATTCGGAAAATATTATTATTAGTTCGGAAAATATATTAAATAGAGCTTTCAAGTTCGGATATCATTTTGTGGTATTAAATCTCGAAGTACTGTTTATATGAGGTGAGGTGAAATGAGGTTTAACGTCGCGTCCAAGATTATTGCACTTATATAGCGACGTGCATGTACATGTATGTGTTTGTGTGGCTGCTTGTACTAGTCCGGACTGATGCCGATTTATAGAGCTAGCCCACTGAGATACCATGCCGCAGTTTAACATGAATACCCCACTCAGACACAGTATACTGACTCCGAGCCGACCAGTCCTTGTTTTAGCCCCTTAATGCCGAGCGCCAGACAGGGTAACAACAAGTACCATCTTTTTACGTCTTTTGGTATGACGCGGTCGGGGATCGAACCCCGGACCTTCCGCTCTCCGGGCGGACGCTCTACCACTAGACCACGGAGGCGGTTCACTGTTTATATGAAGCCAGTTTATAGGTTTGGAAAAGTAAATTATTAGGACTGGGCGCTGCTTATCAGACAGTATAAGGTGAGTGGTTTTTTTCGTCCTGCAAAGGGGGAGGGTTATGATCCTATTGGGAGTGATTTGATTCAAGAAAGAAATCACTCAAGACTGGTTTGATCCTGGGAGTAGCCTGATCCTGCAACACCAGGATGATACCATAGCTGAGGCATAGTGTCTTACCTGACCTGGCAGCACCTGTAACCAGCTGAGTTGTGCTGTAGTAGAGGCATAGTGCCTTACCTGACCCGTCAGCACCTGTAACCGGCTGAGTTGTGCTGTAGTCGAGGCATAGTGTCTTACCTGACCTGGCAGCACCTGTTACGAGCTGAGAAGTGCTGTAGTCGAGGCATAGCGTCTTATCTGACCTGGCAGCACCTGTAACCAGCTGAGAAGTGCTGTAGTAGAGGCATAGTGCCTTATCTGACGTGGCAGCACCTGTAACCAGCTGAGAAGTGCTGTAGTAGAGGCATAGTGTCTTACCTGACCTGGCAGCACCTGTAACCAGCTGGGATGTGCTGTTGTAGAGGCATAGTGTCTTTCTTGACCTGGCAGCACCTGTAACCAGCTGAGTTGTGCTGTTGTAGAGGCATAGTGTCTTACTTGACCTGGCAGCACCTGTAACCAGCGGAGTTGTGCTGTTGTAGAGGCATAGTGTCTTACCTGACCCGGCAGCACCTGTAACCACCTGAGTTGTGCTGTAGTCGAGGCATAGTGTCTTACCTGACCTGGCAGCACCTGTTACGAGCTGAGATGTGCTGTAGTCGAGGCATAGTGTCTTACCTGGCCTAGAAGCACCTGTAATGAGCTGAGATCTGCTGTTGTAGAGGCAAAGTGTCTTACCTGACCTGGCAGCACCTGTTACGAGCTGAGATGTGCTGTAGTAGAGGCATAGTGTCTTACTTGACCTGGCAGCACCTGTAACCAGCTGAGTTGTGCTGTTGTAGAGGCATAGTGTCTTACCTGACGTTGCAGCACCTGTAACCAGCTGAGAAGTGCTGTAGTCGAGGCATAGTGTCTTACCTGACCTGGCAGCACCTGTAACCAGCTGAGATGTGTTTTAATAGAGGCTTAGTGTCTTACCTGACCTGGCAGCACCTGTTACGAGCTGGGATGTGCTGTAGTAGAGACATAGTGTCTTACCTGACCTGGCAGCACCTGTTACGAGCTGAGATGTGCTGTAGTAGAGACATGGTGTCTTATCTGACCTGGCAGCACCTGTAACCAGCTGAGAAGTGCTGTAGTAGAGGCATAGTGCCTTATCTGACGTGGCAGCACCTGTAACCAGCTGAGAAGTGCTGTAGTAGAGGCATAGTGTATTACCTGACCTGGCAGCACCTGTAACCAGCTGGGATGTGCTGTTGTAGAGGCATAGTGTCTTTCTTGACCTGGCAGCACCTGTAACCAGCTGAGTTGTGCTGTTGTAGAGGCATAGTGTCTTACCTGACCCGGCAGCACCTGTAACCACCTGAGTTGTGCTGTAGTCGAGGCATAGTGTCTTACCTGACCTGGCAGCACCTGTTACGAGCTGAGATGTGCTGTAGTCGAGGCATAGTGTCTTACCTGGCCTAGAAGCACCTGTAATGAGCTGAGATCTGCTGTTGTAGAGGCATAGTGTCTTACCTGACCTGGCAGCACCTGTTACGAGCTGAGATGTGCTGTAGTAGAGGCATAGTGTCTTACTTGACCTGGCAGCACCTGTAACCAGCTGAGTTGTGCTGTTGTAGAGGCATAGTGTCTTACCTGACGTGGCAGCACCTGTAACCAGCTGAGAAGTGCTGTAGTCGAGGCTTAGTGTCTTACCTGACCTGGCAGCACCTGTAACCAGCTGAGATGTGTTTTAATAGAGGCATAGTGTCTTACCTGACCTGGCAGCACCTGTAACCAGCTGAGATGTGTTTTAATAGAGGCTTAGTGTCTTACCTGACCTGGCAGCACCTGTTACGAGCTGGGATGTGCTGTAGTAGAGACATAGTGTCTTACCTGACCTGGCAGCACATGTTACGAGCTGAGATGTGCTGTAGTAGAGACATGGTGTCTTACCTGACCTGGCAGCACCTGTTACGAGCTGAGATGTGCTGTAGTAGAGACATGGTGTCTTACCTGACCTGGCAGCACCTGTTACGAGCTGAGATGTGCTGTAGTAGAGGCATAGTGTCTTACCTGACCTGGCAGCACCTGTCACAAGTTGAGATGTGCTGTAGTAGAGACATAACATCTTACCTGACCTGGCAGCACCTGTAACCAGGTGAGATGTGCTGTAGTAGAGACATAGTGTCTTACCTGACCTGGCAGCACCTGTAACCAGTTGGGATGTGCTGTAGTAGAGACATGGTGTCTTACCTGGCCTAGAAGCTCCTGTAATGAGCTGAGATGTGCTGTAGTAGAGACATAGTGTCTTACCTGACCTGGCAGCACCTGTAACCAGTTGGGATGTGCTGCAGTAGAGACATGGTGTCTTACCTGGCCTAGAAGCTCCTGTAATGAGCTGAGATGTGCTGTAGTAGAGGCATAGTGTCTTACCTGACCTGGCAGCACCTGTAACCAGTTGGGATGTGCTGTAGTAGAGACATGGTGTCTTACCTGGCCTAGAAGCTCCTGTAATGAGCTGAGATGTGCTGTTGTATAGGCATAGTGTCTTACCTGGCCTAGAAGCACCTGTAACCACCTGAGTTGTGCTGTAGTAGAGACATAGTGTCTTACCTGACGTGGCAGCACCTGTAACTGCTGAGAAGTGCTGTAGTCGAGGCATAGTGTCTTACCTGACCTGGCAGCCCCTGTAACCAGCTGAGTTGTGCCGTAGTCGAGGCATAGCGTCTTACCTGACCTAGAAGCACCTGTAACGAGCTCAGATGTGCCGTAGTCGAGGCATAGCAACTTACCTGGCCTAGAAGCTCATGTAATGAGCTGAGATGTGCTGTTGTAGAGGCATAGTGCCTTACCTGACCTGGCAGCACCTGTTACGAGCTGAGATGTGCTGTAGTAGAGACATAGTGTCTTACCTGACCTGGCAGCACCTGTTACGAGCTGAGATGTGCTGTTGTAGAGACATAGTGCCTTACCTGACCTGGCAGCACCTGTTACGAGCTGAGATGTGCTGTAGTAGAGACATAGTGTCTTACCTGACCTGGCAGCACCTGTTACGAGCTGAGTTGTGCCGTAGTCGAGGCATAGTGTCTTACCTGACCTAGAAGCACCTGTAATGAGCTGAGATGTGCTGTAGTAGAGGCATAGTGTCTTACCTGACCTGGCAGCACCTGTAACCAGCTGAGTTGTGCCGTAGTCGAGGCATAGCGTCTTACCTGACCTAGAAGCACCTGTAATGAGCTGAGATGTGATGTTGTAGAGGCATAGTGTCTTACCTGACCTGGCAGCACCTGTAACCAGCTGAGTTGTGCCGTAGTCGAGGCATAGCGTCTTACCTGGTCTAGAAGCACCTGTAATGAGCTGAGATGTGCTGTTGTAGAGGCATAGTGTCTTACCTGGCCTAGAAGCTCCTGTAATGAGCTGAGATGTGCTGTAGTCGAGGCATAGCGTCTTACCTGGCCTAGAAGCTCCTGTAACCAGCTGAGATGTGCTGTAGTCGAGGCATAATGTCTTACCTGACCTGGCAGCACCTGTTACGAGCTGAGATGTGCTGTAGTCGAGGCATAGTGTCTTACCTGACCTGGCAGCACCTGCAACCAGCTCGTGTATCAGGAACATCATCACCATTGACCAGTACACAGAACACCAGGGAATGATTGCACACGTCACAGCATACAGGAAGGATGACACAAACAACACTATGTGACGGTTGAAACTGTCATAGAGAGCACCACCGAACAAACTTCCAACTACAGCCCCAACGGCTGCAGCTGTGAAGAAGGCAGCACCCTGGCTTGTGCCTACTCCAGTGATCTGCTGAAGGTCGAGAAAGGCTGGCCCCTTCAGTCCCACTATCCATCCCTGTATGGTACAAAACGTATGTATTAGGAAATGGTGGTCAATTTATCTACAAGGTCCAGGTGGATGGAAAACATCACATTTGTATTGGGAAATGCTGGTCAATTTATCTATAAGGTCCAGGTAGATGGAAAACATATCATTTGTATTGGGAAATGCTGGTCCTGCCAATTTATCTTTAAGGTCCAGGTAGATGGAAAACATCACATTTGTATTGGAAAATGTTGGTCAGTTTATCTATAAGGTCCTGTTTGATGGAATACATCACATTTGTATTGGTAAATGTTGGTCAATTTATCTATAAGATCCAGGTAGATGGAAAACATATCATTTGTATTTGGAAATGCTGGTCCTGCCAATTTATCTTTAAGGTCCAGGTAGATGGAAAACATCACATTTGTATTGGAAAATGTTGGTCAATTTATCTATAAGGTCCTGTTTGATGGAATACATCACATTTGTATTGGTAAATGTTGGTCAATTTATCTATAAGATCCAGGTAGATGGAAAACATATCATTTGTATTGGGAAATGCTGGTCCTACCAATTTATCTTTAAGGTCCAGGTAGATGGAAAACATCACATTTGTATTGGAAAATGTTGGTCAATTTATCTATAAGGTCCTGTTTGATGGAATACATCACATTTGTATTGGGAAATGCTGGTCCTGCCAATTTATCTATAAGATCCAGGTAGATGGAATACATCACATTTGTATTGGGAAATGCTGGTCCAACCAATTTATCTTTAAGGTCCAGGTAGATGGAAAACATCACATTTGTATTGGAAAATGTTGGTCAATTTATCTATAAGGTCCTGTTTGATGGAATACATCACATTTGTATTGGGAAATGTTGGTCCAACCAATTTATCTTTAAGGTCCTGTTAGATGGAATACATCACATTTGTTTTTTGGAAATGTTGGGCCCATAAGACCAAAGGCCAATAAACATAACTGCATATCAAGCTTACAGTGCAAAGATCTTCTGCACGATTCTCAATGTCCAGCCAGTAGATCTATTGTGAGTATCAGGTGTAGTTACAAGCTGGAACAATGCTACCAACTTATTTCTGATGTGAAGGCGTGATAAAGGAGAAGTTTCTATGGTTTGCTTGTTGTATAAAACCGAACTTAGCAATGTTCTTTTCACGGCGGGTTGGACCTGGCAAACCAGTAATGGTTTTTATGAACAACAATTCACCCAATCTCAGTTGCCACCAAGTCACCGAGTCACCGCCAGATCCATAAAGTTGCCCTGAACGACAAACCTACTTTGTTGGGGCCTAACTCTTTTAGGGTGAAGAAGTGAGTGAGTGAGTGAGTGAGTAATGAGTGAGTGAGTGAGTGAGTTGGGTTTAACGCCGCTTTTAACAGTATTCCAGTTACATCACGGCGTGTCAGCTTAATTTGGGAGGAAAGCCCGAAGTGATGCAGGACTCAGACGTTTACCACTTCGGTGAAACCCACGAGCACGGGCTGACAAACCTAGAAACATAATCGGGCGAACCGGGATTCGAACCCACAATCATAGGTTTCTGGCGTGCCCAAGGGACGCAACGCTGCACAGCGAATGGCGGCGCTTTAGACGACTGGGCCACCCGTGCCCCCATGGGGTGAAGAAAGTCGTCTCCTTTGATGATATTTAATGGTGGCTGATAAATGGTTTATGTCAACGAGTGGGTGGTAATTTGAAATATCAATTCTCCAAACTCCACAAGATGTTAAAAAGCGTATTTGACAACTAAAAATTCTCTAGCATTGGATAGTGACTCACAGTGATACTTAGCATGAAATTGTACAATGGATTCTTTAAGTGGAGATTTCCTATTATTATGGAGACGGTTTTGTTATTCAGGTGATCCTGACCTAAAGCAATAACAAGTGGCTTTGAACATTTACTAGTGGACAACCCCTTTCTCTTGTCAGAGTTTGTTTGTTTGTTTGTTTGTTTGTTGTTTAACGCCGCACTCAGCAATATTCCAGCTATATGACGGCGGTCTGTAAAATAATCGAGTCTGGACCAGACAATCCAGTGATTGACATCATGAGCATCGATCCACGCAATTGGGATCGATGACATGTATCAACCAAGTCAGCGAGCCTGACCACCCGACAAGCATAGTCGCCTTTTACGGCAAGTATGGGTTGCTGAAGACCTATTCTACCCCGGAATCTTCACGGGTCTCTTGTCAGAGTTAGGGGATTCATGTCACTGCCAGTTATGTAATGCGATCTTTATCACCTCACTCGATACGTTTCTAAGACTACTTACAGAGGAGAAAGACACGAGGTACAGCCCCAGCATGTATATTGCCTTTCTTCTGAACACAGTGCTTTGAAACTTCACAATAATGCGCTGCAAAAGGGGCGTCTTCACTGGAGTTACATCCGGGTCTTGGCGTGAATCACTGACGTCCATCAGTCTGTATAAACAAATTCAGTTTGTTCGTATATGGCTTAGTTTCATAAAACTAGTTTCAATATTTTTCATGCCAAATGTTCATATGGCTGAGAACTTGCGCTATTCCTTTCTCAATGTTAAGGACTGAAAAAGCGCTCTCTTTCCAAAGTAAAGTTGTGGTATGTCAAACTGACTGACTCTGTGCTTCATGAAATATCTTATACATATATATCAAACCACACGACTACAATCGATTTATCCCTTTCACTCATTCATATGTACTTGCTGTTGATCAGTAATGAAAGTCAAATGAGGTGAAATTGGGTTTAACGTCGCTTTCAAGATCACTGCACTTATATAGAGACGTGTGTGTGGTGTGTGTGCGTGTGTGGTGTGTGTGTGTATGTGTGTGCCTGCGTGCGTGCGTGCGTGCGTGCCTGCGTGCGTGTGTTTTTGTGGGGTGTGTGTGTGGCGGGGCTGTGTGTATGTCTTTCTATCTGCTTGTACTAGTCCGGACTAAACTGTATGACAAGAGGGATGACTTCCAAAAGTCAACTGAGCCTGTATGTCCAGCAATATTCCTGCAGTTACATCTTATTGTGTCTGCATTTCAAAACAACTTTTGAAGTGCGATTGAGCATGGCCCCTTTGTGGAGGAGATCTACAGGGTGGAGGGTTTCACAAGTTACCACAACCACAATTAATCTTATAGATCATTCCTTGGCTTGAGTGTGTGTTGTTGTTTTGTTTTTTTGTTTGTTTGTTTGGTGGTTTGTTTGTTTGTTTTTTTTGGGGGGGAGGTTGTTGGGCGGAGGGTTTACTGGTTTTTGCTTGGAGGGTGGTCCTGAGGAATACCTGCTGATTTCATGTGAAGTCTTGCCCATGTAGGGTAGGGTGATTCTGATTGGGGTGGTTTCTGGCCTGGCCTGGTCGGTTTGGGTTTGAGTGTGGTGAGTTGGTCCTCTTGATGAGCTTGGTAGGATACGGTTGAGGTTGGTGAAGATATGCTGCAGATATGATTAGGTTCATGATCAAGGTCAAGCCTCGTATCCAATCAGCTTGTTCAACTATTTTTTTAGTGTCCAATCAGCTTTTTCAGCTATTTTGTTAGTGTCCAATCAGCATGTTCAACTTTTTTTTTAGTGTCCAATCAGCTTGTTCAGCTTTTTTTGTAGTGTCCAATCAGCTTGTTAAACTATTTCTTTAGTGTCCAATCAGCTGGTTCAACTATTTGTTTAGTGTCAAATAAGCTTGTTTAACTTTTTAATCCATACTGTATCACTGACTTCATCACCTGTGTGCTGTTTGTTATTCTTACTCTACTTTCGGCTTCATCCAATTACTTGTGGACGACACCTGTATACGAATGTGTTCTACATCACATACATTATTAATGGCACCCTGCATAAGACTTACTGTATAGTTGTATATCGTATTTATAGGATTGTATATCGTATTTACAGGATTGTATAAGATGGTTATGCGATAAATCGCAAAGAACAATGAAGAACGAAGTGTGGTTTATTTCACGATAAAACACCGTTCTATCATTACGTCATTTGTTTAGAACATGGGCTCGCAACTTGATAACGTCGTATATTGGACGACGGTGTCTAGTGTGTTGTTCTCCATAGATGCAGCAGGGCAACGCAGATAAACGCGATGGCCGAACGATAGCATCCAAAAGTGGCAGAGATATGACAATCGTCATTGGGTTTTGTTTGTTGTTTAACGTCGCACTCAGCAATATGCCAGCTATTTGACGGCGGTCTTTAATTAATCGAGTCTGGACCAGGCAATCCAGTGATTGATATCATGAGCATCGATCTACACAATTTGGATACCATAACATGCATCAACCAAGTCAGCGAGCCTTACCACCCGATCCCGTTTGTCGCCTTTAAGGCGTCTTTTAAGGCAAGCATGGGTTGCTGAGGACCTATTCTACCCTGGAGGAAAGGTACAGGTAATCGACTTGAGCATTGTGAGAATATGAGGGAAATACCCACCTGGGCATAAAATGGACTTGTCCGACATTGCCGGATTCTATTCAAATAGGGGTAAATATTTAAAAAAGCTTGTACATTTCATCATCATCCTTAAAGAGGCTGTACATACTGTTGATATCACATAAGAAATAAACGACGAGTGGTCGTGCAATAAAACACTGTACTATTCTCCCTGCAGCATTTTATTGTACGATAAACAACTCCCTGTGACAATTACTTGTTTTCAAATAGTCTTAAATATTCCATGTACGTATTAGTATTCACTGCAGCAGCTGCACAGTCAGACTCGTCAACCTAGCATACGTTGTTACAAACGTGACAACAATTGGTACTCTTAACTCACACACAAATATTTTCAAACCAAGCTATTCTTGTTTTTCTCATCACAATTATTAGAGATGGGAAAGATTGAGATCGCCGTTCATATCTACAATAAACATCTGATGGACTGATAAAGTCTTCTTTTTTTTAGGGGCGGTGTCAGACCTAGGCGGCTTGGGTAGAAGGGACACACTGGCAACATTTACCAATTCAGTAGTACCTGATCTACCAGATTTCTTCTGCGCTTGCTCATCCTGATGTGCACACAGTACATTCATTCACTTAGTCCAGCATGTCAGCTATCAGGAATATGCAGAACAAGAAAACACCCACATACTCAGAGGATCGTGGTAGCACTCAATGAATATAAGTTCTAAAATGTAAATAATTATTAATGAAATATTTGTGTGTGGTGTGTGTGGTGTGTGTGTGTGTGTGTGTGTGTGTGTGTGTGTGTGTGTGATGTGTGTGTGGTGTGTGTGCGTGCGCGTGTATGGTTTTTTTTATCTTGAACATGTGTATTTTGAGGTTTTTCAGGAATAAATAGAACTATTCAATAGCGTCGCTTCTGCGTGCATTTAAAGGGACTACTTGACCTCAAAAGCTCCAGGAAGACTGATGACTGATACCCCACTCAGACACAGTATACTGACCCGAGCCGACCAGTCCTTGTCCCCTTAATGCCGAGCGTCAGACAGGGTAACAACAAGTACCATATTTTAACGTCTTTTGGTATGACGTGGCCGGGGATCGAACCCCGTACCTTCCGCTCTCCGGGCGGACGCTCTACCACTAGACCACGGAGGCGGTCGACTGTTAAACATCGAGTTTAAGAATAACATTATATGGTATCGAGATTATCAGCCTCGTGTTCCGTATTGTATATAACTGTATGTAAAATATGAATCTTTTGTATTCACGAAATATGACATTCAAATATGAAATATGACAAAGATAAAAGACAATATTTTCTTCAATATGATATATATACTCTCTCTCTCTCTCTCTCTCTCTCTCTCTCTCTCTCTCTCTCTCTCTCTCTCTCTCTCTCTCTCTCTCTCTCTCTCTCTCTCTCTCTCTCTCTCTCTCTCTCTCTCTCTCTCTCTCTCTCTCTCTCTCTCTCTCTCTCTCTCTCTCTCTCTCTCTTTCCCTAGTGGTACACCTACCTGTGGGACACAGCTATGGCGCGCGAATCCATCATGTATGGCGAGTCTGTCGGTGAGCTGACCTGTAAAACACAAGGTTTCACCACAAGTCACGTGCAGCAGAAAATCGTAGCAAAGCCTGTTGGGTTTGCATCGTGCAGGGAGTGTATAATCAATACTTCAGTATTAGATGACAATTCATACCTGCGGAACCACAGTTCATCATATTAATATAATATTACCGTATATTGGTCTTTGTGAAAATAATAGCAGCTATTGTAATAATGCAACGGGCTTGAATAATACAATGTCATAGTACATTAACCACTGAATGAAACAACTTTGTACGCCTACTTATACTGATAAAATCGTTGTGTTGTAATGTTCGTTAGTGCTGCATTAAAATAGACATATAAATAGTCATTAGGTCACATTTTATCGTGTTCAGTCATATATCTGTCATTCATGTGTGCGCGTATATATATCTTACTATGTTAATTCTTCTGTCAGATGCACAAAGTACAACCCTTGTGTCTGATGAACATTGCGCATCTCTTCTGTCAGATACACAAAGTACACCCATTGTGTCTGATAAACAACGTCCATCCCTTCTGTCTGATACACAACGTCAAACTCTTGTGTCTGATACACAACGTACATCCCTTTTGACTGATACACAACGTCAATCCCTTCTGTCTGATACACATCGTCAATCCCTTCTGTCTGAAACACAAAGTACATCCCTTCTGTCTGATACACAACGTCCATCCCTTGTGTCTGATACACAACGTCCATCCCTTGTGTATGATACACAACGTCAATCCCTTGTGTCTGATACACAACGTCAATCCCTTGTGTCTGATACACAACGTCAATCCCTTGTGTCTAATACACAACGTCCATCCCTTGTGTCTGATACACAACGTCAATCCCTTCTGTCTGAAACACAAAGTACATCCCTTCTGTCTGATACACAACGTCAATCCCTTCTGTCTGATACACATCGTCAATCCCTTCTGTCTGAAACACAAAGTACATCCCTTCTGTCTGATACACAACGTCCATCCCTTCTGTCTGATACACAACGCCAATCCCTTCTGTCTGATACACATCGTCCATCCCTTGTGTCTGATACACAACGTCAATCCCTTGTGTCTGATACACAACGTCAATCCCTTGTGTCTGATACACAACGTCAATCCCTTGTGTCTGATACACAACGTCAATCCCTTGTGTCTGATACACAACGTCCATCCCTTGTGTCTGATACACAACGTCAATCCCTTGTGTCAAAGTACATCCCGTGTGTCTGATTGACAAAGTACATCCCTTGTATCTGATAAGCAAAGTCCACCCCTCCGTCTCACATACAAACACATTCCTAGAGTTTGTGCAGTTGATAGCGACCTTTTTTTCCGTCCTTACGCATTAAGACACCCTTCATCCTGAAAAGGGAGTCTGTGCGTTCTGATGTGAGTTACGAAGTTATCTACTACATTTTTACACAGACAATGAGTCGGACACACACAAACAAACACGCACATACATAATTTTGAGAAAACTATACTTAATATGCATAATTTACACAAATACACATATCAACTGTGGTAACGCCACAGCGATGGGGGCAGTGGGGTAGCCTAGTGGTTAAAGCGTTCGCTCGTCACGACGAAGACCCGGATTCGATTCCCGACATGGATACACTGTGTCAAGCCCATTTCGGGTGTTCCCCGCGTGATATGGCTCGAAAATTGGTAAAAGCGGAGCAACATCACACCCACTCACCACCCATCCACCCATCCACCCATCCACCAATCCACCCATCCACCCACCCACTCACTCACCCAAGAATGGTTTGATAGCGAATGCTAGCTACTTAAAAAGGAACGATGTAGACGTTTAAATACATTTGGGTCATCGCTAAAAGCCATTAAACCAAATAGTTATTGCAAAAATAACATTGCTATTCAAGACTGGTTTGAGCATTTCCAGGAATTGTTTTCAGTTCCAACAATTTATTTGACATGGCATTCAACGAAGATAAAGGTGACAGTGTAACAGCTGATATTCTTGAATGTCCAATATCTAGAGAGGAAGTTATTGACAGCATCTTCTACCTTAAAGATAATAAGGCATATTGAAATGATAATGTGATAGCGGAGTTTTTTAACATTCCTCAGATATTTCAATACCATATTTGGAACTTATTTTTAATATCCTTTTAGAGAGATCATATTTTCCAGAGAATTGGACAGTTGGCATTATTGTTCCTCTTCACAAACAGGGCGCAACCATCGATGTTAATAATTATAGAGGCATAACTCTCCTCAGTACAATCAGTCAACTATTTACTTCAATTATTAATTAGAGAGACCACTGACAATGTTTTTATCCTATGTTCTATAATACAGAGATATCTATCAGTGAAACGAGGGAAGCTATATCTTGTATTCGCAGGATTTGCCTCTGTGAAAAGGGTTACCTTGTGGTCCCTCTTTCTAAAACATGGGCTAAGTAGCAAAATTGGAAATTTATTGTGCTCTCTATATAATAATGTGAAGGTGTGTGTCCGGAATAATGGCGCTATATCGGATAATTATGTAGTTAGCATGGGTGTCCAACAAGGGTGTATATAAAGTCCCTTCTTATTTTCCTTTTTCATAAATGAAATAGCATATCAAATCCAAAGTAATTGCACTGATGGAATACAACTACATCCCGAAACTATTAAATTATTTCTGCCTCTTTTCGCAGATGATATATACATGTTCTCGAGCACAATATCTGGCTTGCAAAGGCAAATACATGTATTAGAGAGTAATTGTGGCGGGTCAAAACTTACTGTAAATATGGATAAAACCAAAGTTGTATTTTTTTTAAAATGGTGGTAACTTATCCAGAAAAGAAAAACGGCTTTACAGAGGGAAGCCTGTAGAAGTTGTTCCATGTTATAAATACTTAGGCGTGTGTTTTACAAGTAGATCAACTATGTCAAGGAATCCACATAACATTTCATTGCAAGCCAAGAACATTTTTGTAGGCATATTAAAAAGTCTTAGAGTTCTGAAAAATATTACACATAATGTTTACTTTAAAATAATTGATACAAAATAAGCCCGATTCTATTGTAAGGATCAGAAATTTAGGGCTTAGAACATTTGGATGATATTGAAAAAAATTACATTTATATGCATGTAAAAAGTTCTTGGATGTAAAATCTAGCACAAAAAACGCAAGGGTATATGTTGAATGCGGAAAGTGTCCCAATTATATCAATAGTTATTTAAAGGTTATTAAATACTGGGTCAAGCTATTAAATATGCCATCTTCAAGATACCCCAGAAAATGTTATAATATGATGCTTCTCTACGACAACCATGGGACCCAAAATTGGGCATCAAAAGTTAAAAACATTTTATACGAATGTGGATATGGTTATATTTGGTTACAGCAACATGTAGATATGCCACAGCATTTCTTCACCCGTTTGATACAGACCTTAAAAAATATGTACAGCCAAAAATGGCATGGTTCTTTGTCCAGTTCTAGAAAAGCAAATTACTACACTATATTTAAGACTACTGTTATACCAGAACAGACAGACAGATTTATTTCGTATGTGTGGCCATGAGGCCAATAGTACAATGACATTTTGTTGTAAAGAACATTCGTCGTGAAGCACCACTTGTATACTGATTAGATTGTAGCTAAATATGGTGTACACAGTTTTATTATATTCAATGGATTATCCTTTCAAATATCTTATAAACACAAACGGCAAGTCTGAGAAGAATATGGCTTTTTTTGCTGTTTATTAACTGTACAAATTTTCTTTGTGATGGATTGGTATAATAATAGTTAGGCAGGTATTTGATTCTTATATCGTCATATCCTGGACATATCAATAAAACATGGTATTCATCTTTTTGGTAATATTTGCAGAAAGGACACATCGATGTTAAAACATCATTATCTTTGGAGTGTCTGTGTAACTGTATATTGAGGGTATGTATACCACACCTAAACTTCGTTAAACGTCGTTAAACATCTGCGTAAAGATACAGATCGAATTGTTGTTAAGTACATTTCTGGTATTATTTCCATCTTAAACACTGAATAGGCATATAGCGATTTTGAACATATTATATCGGCTGACCAGCCTTGACAATACATATCTTTACATCGTTGTTTAAACATTGTTAAGAACATTATTTTATTTCCAACATCCTGGTATATCCACGCGTATGCAAATCCATGCGAAAAAAAATCTCTCCAACAGCTGAAGCCCAATTTTCTATCCCCTAAGTCATCAAGGCGCTTAAGCATGTACTAGCATCGTCGAGAGTATCGTGTATCTGGTTGTCTGAGCAAAGGTATCCAGTATGAGATAACCCTACATTGATAGTGTATATATATCGGGTGCCTTCTGCATTCTGCTAAAATTGCCTTATTTGGTGACCGGTAGCCGACGCCAAGAACAAACTTACAAAATTTTGTATGAATTTTCTCAATACTGTGGCGATATAAGGTTTCCCAATGTTCCGCGCCGTACGTTAGTATTTGCTGTATTTTACCATCAAATATCCTAACAGGTATATTTCTAAATTTACTAATAAACTTCTTCGCTGAATACATTGCTTTATCTGCTTGCATTGAAAGTACTTCACATGCTTTTGTAAATAGATTTCGACATGAAACTGTTAAGCTAAGATATTTGTAGTATGATACTACTTCTAGTCTTTCTGGACCGAAGAACCATTTCTCATGTTTAGATATCGTTCCCCCTTTCTTGAAAACAACAGCTTTGGTTTTGTTAGTATTTACAGATACTCCCCACTTAGCACACTATATATAAAGAACATCTATTTTTTTCTGTAAATTTTGAACGCTTTCTGCAAATATTACAACATCATCCGCAAATAGTAAAATCGATAATGCCTGTACAACTTCGTCTACAAAAAATCCAGTGTTCACGATATCCTTCACAAATTCGTCAATGTACAAGATAAAGAGGAGTGGTGATAATATACATCCCTGTCTTACACCTGCACTTGTATTGAATACAATAGTCATAGTATTTTTACTATATCTTACAGCTGCTTTTACATTTCCATATATACTTCTTAGTAGTGTATCTTATCTTACCATGTATACCGTTACCGAGCAACGTATATAAAAGTTTATTTCGACCCACAGTGTCAAATGCTTTTTTTAAGTCAACAAAAATACAGTAAAAATTTCCACGCTTCTTTCTAATATATTTATGTGTCAGTGAATATAAAGTTAATATGTGATCAATCGTTGAGTAATCTTCTCTAAACCCTGCTTGGTATTCTGACAGTATCTGTTGTGTGGGGACCCAAAAGTTTATTCGAGATTCAATCATTGATATGAATATTTTACTTATAATGTCTAACATGGCAATGCCTCTGTAGTTATTTGAATTATCCTTCGAGCCGGATTTATGCAATGGGACAATAACTCCAAGATTCCATGATTCCGGGAATTGACCTGTCTCAAGAATATGGTTAAAAAGACGTTTATAGAAGGGTAACAACAGGGAACGGGTTTCCTTCACAGCTTCTGTTGGGATCCCGTCATGTCCCGGTGATTTTCCAGTTTTCAAATGCTGTATAGCATATATTATTTCACGGTCTGATATTTCCCCACTGATCAGTTCATCGCAGTTTCTACAGTCATCATAGTCTACAGTAGAATGGTTTTCTAGGAAATCTGCGACATCTTTATCAAAAGTGTGATTTGGTTTAACTTGCGGATTTAGAGTGAGTGAGTGAGTGAGTTTGGTTTGACGCCGCTTTTAACAGTATTCCAGTTATATCGCGGCGTGTTAGCTTAATGTGGGAGGAAAGCCCGAAGTGATGCAGGTCTCAGACGTTTACCACTTCGGTGAAAGCCACGAGCACGGGTATGGTCCTGACAAACCTAGAAACATAATCGGGGCGAACCGGGATTCGAACCCACAATCATAGGTTTCTGGCGTGCCCAAGGGACACAATTCTGCACAGCGCCTTAGACGACTAGGCCACCCGTGCCCCCGCGGATTTAGAAGTTCTCTGAAGTAGACATACCAATCAACAGCAGTGATAGATGACGATCCCAACTCACGTCTATAGCAATATTTCTTAATTGTTTTCCAAAATAATTAACAATCTTTACTTTTTGCAGCTTTTACAGCTTCTCCAGAGACAGACATATAATAATCAACCTTTTTTATTTTACAAGTTTCTTTAAAACGTTTCTTGGCGTTTAAATACTCACTGCGCATGCAATGTTCACTATCATTCCTTATCATAAACCTATCTAGAAGGACATATTTAGTACGTTTCAGTGTCTCGCATTCCCTATCAAACCAATGCGGCTGGTTTTGATGTAGTTTGTTAACATGAGGTGAGGTGAAATGGGGTTTAACGTCGCGTCCAAGATTATTGCACTTATATAGCCACGTGCATGTACATGTGTGTGTTTGTGTGGCTGCTTGTACTAGCCAGACAGGGTAACATCAAGTACCATCTTTTAACGTCTTTTGGGATCGAACCCCGGACCTTCCGCTCTCCTGGCGGACGCTCTACCACTAGACCACGGAGGCGGTCTTGCTTCATGGTGTCCCATAATGGATATAGAGCTATTGTTGAATAGGTCTTATAACATCTCCACAGCAGTCTAAATCTGTGTTTAATCTATTATCAAATACTGTTGAAAAACGGTCAATGCAACTGTTCATAAAGTTTGTAAACTCACCCCCACGTGCTTGGTCCAACCGAAATTTATCCATGTTGTGAGATGCGCATGCAGCACGAGCGCCTGCGGGGTGTGCTTGTTCACGTGATGCATCACGTGATAAGGCTAAGTCGACTGTCAAGGGAAGATGATCAGATTCTGTTCTAGTTACTATTTTAAAGTTTTTAAAGCATTTATACACAGAAGAGGGCACAATAGAATAATCTACGACACTATTACTATTATTCACGTAACCCCCCCCCCCCCCCCCCCTCTACGTCTGAACCCGTTCTGTACATGCATGTTCATGTTTACACACATATCGAGTAACTGTTTACAGTCCGTTTGATTCCATCTGAGACCGATGAATTGCTCACTAACTCAAAATCTAATAATTGCAACAAAACCAAAATGTGCACAGCTACATCATTCGGACAACAGCGACACCGATTCCGAATGCACTGTCACGGCTTCAGATACCTGCAACAGTGACTCCGATTGAACACCCTAAACGGCTTTTGAGATGACCCCCATATATGGTGCACATGCTTGTTCATTACCTGGCTGTTCCATGAGCGACTGGTCCTCCCTGGTATGGGATGGCGAAAAATGTCAACAATGTGATGATCGTTTGTTAAACAATTTTTTTATTCGGGTGTCCAAAATTATAAGACAAACCATCAGAGTTGGTCTGTTCAATTCATGTCGCTGTGCACATTTTGGTTTTGTTGCAATTATTAGATTTTGAGTTAGTGTATTAAAAATACTGTCTTTGGACTTTCTTGGAATAGCAAAGTCATCATATTCATAGTTTAACTCATCAATCGGGAGATGATCGACGGCGTCATCTTCTATGAGGTGAGGTGAGGTGAGGTGAAATGGGGTTTAACGTCGCGTCCAAGATTATTGCACTTATATAGCGACGTGCATGTACGTGTGTGTGTTTGTGTGGCTGCTTGTACTAGTCCGGACTGATGCCGATTTATAGTGCTAGCCCACTGAGATACCATGCAGCAGTTTAACATGAATACCCCACTCAGACACAGTATACTGACTCCGAGCCGACCAGTCCTTGTTTTAGCCCCTTAATGCCGAGCGCCAGACAGGGTAACAACAAGTATCATCTTTTAACGTCTTTTGGTATGACGCGGCCGGGGATCGAACCCCGGGCATTCCACTCTCCGGGCGGACGCTCTACCACTAGAGCACAGAGGCGGTCTCATCTTCTATGAAACCTTGTTCTAATCCTATACGAGCATTCATATCACCAAAAATAGTTATTGCAGAGCCTGGATATTCATTACACAGTGTATACAGTTTTGTCTCTAAGAGTTCTACACCAAATGAAAAAAAAACTGTTTTGCTGGATTTAATAATTGACACAAAGCATTACGTATATGTAAATACGAAATAACTACACAACTGGAAAAGTACTAGTCTGGATTTGCTAGTTTTATCTCAGTGCTCAATACAAAATGTACTTAGGAGCTAATTTGTAGGCACTTTCAACATTCAAAAATAAAAGTCCAAATGGACATGGCAGAAACAGGCTATAGGCATTATGCAAATTAGCCTGGGAAAAAGTTATCAAAACCACAATAAAAAAAACAGCTATGTTTATGTACATAATAATAATGACATGTAAGTTGTTCGAGAATAGAATATGTTACTTTTACGTTCTGATATTTTGACAATGATTCACTATCCCACAATGCCACTTACAAGTCACTGACCACTGACAAATCACATGCACGTGGGTTTCAAGCACCTGTTTTCACCTGTCGTCAAGGTGTCATAGGTCATGGACATTCACCTTAATCTACTAACACCTGGTTATGCTCAGTTTCACAATAGTCTGTTTTGTTCCTATTTTTACACACTTTTACGTGTAAAAAGACATAAAAAACCTTTGATACGCTGTATACGCTGTGCCAAGTCCCAATTAGTACTAATTGAGTTCCTTGAATATTTATATATTTTGTATATTAACTGCTTTTATTTAAAATCTGAGATCGAAAAAACAGGGTTTTTTAATTTCCGTGAGTACTTTTATTTTTTTTAGCTGCTACTGTTGTTGCATCAGTCACATATACAAATCCCAATATAATGGGAGGCCTGGGCAGTACGTTTGATAGGAAGAAAACACAATCTGCCCATTCGTTGTGCAATCGGGTGAACAGCTATTTGACAGACTTCCTTATATATACGGCGATTCCACCGTAATATCTGCCCACAGTACATGTGCGTTCTCCACACTGGTGACAGTGATGGTCTGGGAAAATATGTTCAAAATCCGTGGTATGTTTGGCCCAAGTTTCTATAAAGGTAATGACATCGAAGGTTCTACAAAAAACTTTTTTTTTTAGTTTTGAATAAAGCCCATTTACATTCCATGTTATGAAGGATAATTATATTTCCGGAATATATCTCTCTTCATGTTTGAATTTATTGGTGGATCTGCACATATCTCTACTATGACACTGGCCTCGACCACATTCCTATCTGGATTGTCCCGTGCTATTGTTACGATGTCTCTCTGCCATATTGTCTCTCTGGGTGGCTGTCACCACGTCTTCTGCTAGCTCTGGGGTCCCGGATGTGGGAAGCTTCGTCGGGTGGGTCGGCGACAGGGTGGCGTGCTGGCGGGTGTATCGTCGCTTTTCCATCGGTACGATGGTTTTCTTTTCCCAATCGTATTTGTAAGTCACATTATTCACCACCAGCTTGTCGTATGTAAGAGGTGAGGTGAGGTGAAATGGGGTTTAACGTCGCGTCCAAGAATATTGCACTTATATAGCGACGTGCATGTACGCGTGCGTGTGTTTGTGTGGCTGCTTGTACTAGTCCGGACTGATGCCGATTTATAGTGCTAGCTCACTGAGATACCATGTCGCAGTTTAACATGAATACCCAACTCAGACACAGTATACTGACTCCGAGCCGACCTTGTTTTACCCCTTTAATGCCGAGCGCCAGACAGGGTAACAACAAGTGCCATCTTTTAACGTCTTTTGGTATGACGCGGTCGGGGATCGAACCCCGGACCTTCCGCTCTCCGGACGGACACTCTACCACTAGACCACGGAGGCGGTCTCGTATGTAAAATAGCAATCTTCACCTTTGTCTCGGTGTTCTTTCACGTACTCACCAAGCACACGCCTCACATTTCTCACGCTCTGTGTGAGGGGGCAAGGGTGGCCCAGTCGTCTAAGGAGCCGCGATTCGCTATGCAGAGTTGCGTCCCTTGGGCACGCCAGAAACCTATGATTGTGGGTTCGAATCCCGGTTCGCCCCGATTATGTTACTAGGTTTGTCAGCACCATACCCGTGCTCGTGGGTTTCATCGAAGTGGTAAACGTCTGAGACCTGCATCACTTCGGGCTTTCCTCCCACATTAAGCTGACACGCCGTGATATAAATGGAATACTGTTAAAAGCGGCGTTAAATCCAACTCACTCATTCACTCACTTCAATACAATCAGTGTTACAAATCCTACAAAGTCTATGTTCTCTTGCAATACCTTAATATCTGCCTGTTTCAATTAATATATCATGTTAGTCACAACGAAATCGAGAAAGAGCTGTTCTAAACTTATGTAAATTTACACTGAATAGATAAGGTTCTGGGCCCCGTTCCACAAAGCAATCTTAGCGCTAAGATGATCGTAACTCCCATACTTTAACATAGGCTTACAATAGTCGTAGCGCTAAGATGATCGTAACTCCCATACTTTAACATAGGCTTACAATAGTCGTAGCGCTAAGATGATCGTAACTCCCATACTTTAACATAGGCTTACAATAGTCGTAGCGTTAAGATGATCGTAACTCCCATACTTTAACATAGGCTTACACTAGTCTTAGTGCTAAGATGATCGTAACTGTTAAAAGCGGCGTTTAACCAAACCCACTCACTCACTCAGACGGAGAGATACGGAACTTCCCAGGTCGCTGCAGTGTGTTTCTGGCTGACTCATACACCTTTTCCTTTTCTTTGTAAAAGGATAACTTTACGAAAATCGGACGTGGAGTCCGCTTAGTCGGTAATCTATGTGCTCTTTCAATGTGTATCTCCGCCGCCATTTCTTCAGGGATTTTCAGCTCATTTTCTATAAACGTTCTCACTTTCTTCTCACTTTCATTCCAGCTTTCCCTTCTACCAGACCCGTGAAGATCCGGGATAGAATAGGTCTTCAGCAACACATGCTTGCCATAAAAGGCGACTTTGCTTGTCGTAAAAGGCGACTAACGGGATCGGGTGGTCAGACTCGCTGACTTGGTTGATGCATGTCATCGATCCGAAGGGCGTGGATCGATGCTCATGATGTCAATCACTGGATTGTCTGGTCCAGACTCGATTATTTACAGACCGCCGTCATATAGCTGGAATATTGCTGAGTGCGGCGTAAAACAACAAACCAACCAACCAACCAACCCTTCTACCATCGTCCTCTATTCCAAAGAAGACTAAGTTTTCTCTCCGTGATTGGGATTCTAGTTGTTCGAGTCTGTTCATTAGCATATTATTGTCTGCTTCAAGTTTATCGACTACTGACCACATGTTATCCTGTTCTGATTTCAGTGCGTTTAGAGTTTTTTTAAAGTTGTCGAACTTACTGTGCAAAGACCTCAGGTTTCTCCGTATACAGTAAAGTACGGTTATAACGAACTCAAAGGGACTACTAATTTTAGTTCGTTATAACCGTAGTTCGTTATAAGCATATATACAGCATAACTACAGCAACTAGTCGGGACCAAAAAGTAAGTTCGTTATATCCGTAAGTTCGTTATAAGCGTGTTCGTTATAACCGTAGTTTACTGTATTCTGCAGTATTACACCAACTTGTATACTGTCTTCATCTTCATGCTGCGTGACCTCTTGTGTGCCTCTGTCAACCTGCGCTCCTGACGTGGGGAGAGATAGTCGACTCTGTCGTGTGTGTCGGGGCTCCGGATTTCGCTCAACATTTCCACTCAAGAGTAGCAAAACTCCAATTATCAGAAAGATTTGAAGCTGGCGTGAACATAAACCACAATATATCTTGAATCCGTTTTGTAGTTCACTT